TTTAAGAGATAGAACTTTTTTCCCTTGCTATGTAGCCTAGGCTGGCCTGGAACTCAAATTCTGATTCAGCCTCCTAAGTGCTGAGATTACAGACATATGCCATATATCTGACTGAAGCAACAGCAATTCTTATTACCCTAGTTTGATTCATATTATACACCTTATACATGTATCAAATTACCATAATGTACCCCATAAAGATGTACAAATATGTCTCAATAACATTTCTAAAAGAAAAGAATATTGACTATAGATTGTTTATAAGAGAAAAGAATAAAAAAGACCAATTGATGATGCTTCCATATTACAATAACAAAAAGAAATTGTTAAGATATACTTTATTATTGTTTATTTATTTATTTATGGTACTGGTGTTTGAACTCAGGGCCTCATGTTTGCTAGGTAGGCACTCTACTACTTGAACAATGTCACCAAACTCCAAGATACACATTTTAAAAGCAAGCTATAAAACTACATTTATAATGTCTATTTATGTAAAAAGAGAGAGTCCTAACCATTTATGCATGTAACAGTACAGCAAAAATCTAGGGAGGATTCCCAACACTTTTTTAAGTGATTACCTAAAGATAAGAGAGTGATTATAAGAGGCTGAAGACAGACTCTTATACTTAATCTCCATCTTTCTATCTAGAGAACCTATATATTTGTATTACTTGTATAATTTTAAAAGCAATTGAAAGAAAATAATGAGGCTTAATATATCAGCACAAAAGTGTTTTGTTTGTTCTGTTTCGGCTTTTTTAAAACTCTTGTCAGTTCAGTAATCAGGTCACCTTACTTCATTTTGCTTCACTCATGCCAAAATCCATTTTCTACCTCTTTTGCCTTCCACTATGGTCCATCACAGTCTGAAGACTATCAAGCAATTCCTCCTTGACCCTTCGTCTCTTACTTCAGTTCTACTAATGGGAGGCATAAGCAGGTCTAGGGCATAAGGACGTAACATCTTCCTCTACTTCCTCACTGCTTTCCAGGCCTGAGGTTCTAGCAGGGCTGGGCTCTTCTGAAACTGCATCTCTATCTACTGCTCCTGCTGGGAGACTTTACTCCCTTCTACTCTTAAGAATGGTAAATCCCTTCAACTCTTGAGAATTCCGGGTTGCTTTAGTAGCCTTAATTGCTTATTAGTAGTCCTAACCTATCTATAACATTTGTGAATGATCATTTGTGAATGATGGTTTTATCAAATTCTCTCCAGAATTCCGAGTTTGACTTTTTTTTTTCTTGTTGGGTCTCTACTAAGATGAGTTGGAATAAAAAGTTCAAGCTACCATTCAGGCAAAGGAAGATTTCACCAGTCACCATGCTTCTTAAAAGAGTTTGTCAGTCAGTGAGGTATGCTCAGGACCTGTCACTGTCTTTAGAACAGCAATAGGTTTCAAATTCCATCACCTGAAAACTATCTAAGGGAGTGTATTAAAAATGCAGCTCTGAGGCTGGGCATGGTAGTACATGCCTGTAATCCCAGATACTTGGAAAGTGGAGATCAGAAGAACTGTGGTTACAGGCTGCCCTGGGGAAAAGTTAGCAAGACCTCATCTCAACAAACAGGTCAGGCATGATGGTTTATGTTTAATCTCAGCAACATGGGAGACACAGGGAGGAAGACCTCAGTCTGTGACTGGCCCCAGATGAAAGAAAACACTTTGTGAAAAATAACTAGAAAAGGGTCAAGTTCAAACCCTAGTACTGCCAAAAAAAAAAAACAAAAAAAAACCAAAAGCATATTCAAGGAAATACCAAAATACCAAGAAACTGTCACACGTAAAACAAGGATATGAGAGATAAATGCAGTGTGACATCCTGGGTCAGAGCCCTACACTCTATTCTGTTGTTCTTTGTTCCTTCTGATGTCCCAAGATTTCTTCTTTAATTACTTTATTCCCATTTCAGCCACTCTTTTAGGATAGATATTGTACTAACAAATTCCCTTAGTTTTCCTTCACGTAATCATGTCTTGAATGCCCCCTTTTTTTTTAATTAGGAAAGAAATACATGATAACATGTTGTTTTTGTCTCTCTGTGTCTTATTTCTGATGATGTCATTCAAATTATTTTCCCCTATAAACAAGGTGTTTTTGCTCTCTCACAATCTGTACTTAGCATATTCCATTTTTTCCTTTGTCAAAATTTCTAACCCTCGCTTTATTCTCATTAATAAAAACCAAATACTTATGCAGCCTATATAGATCTGTAAGTGCAGGTATATGAAATAGTAATAATAATAGCAAATATATAGGTAGGAGTTTAGATTAGGAAATGTTTCCAAGCTATCTGTGACAGAACTTCAACTTTGAAGACATACCAAAAATACAGGGATTCCTCTCTGGATTCTGGAAGTGAAAACTTTCAATGTAGAAAGGAGTTTTAAGGAAATTACCTGACCTAGTGAACATGAACAAGAGAGAAAGTGGTATTTTTATTTTAGTAAGGAAAGCAATGTTAATTTCGTTTCTAGAGTAAGACATCAAAATGAGCTCATTTCTTATTGATTCAAAATTTACCTAGGACTTTATAATTTATAATGACTTGGGAAGTTCATCAGGTAACTGAAAATTTTCTTCATTAAGTGGATTCTAATCAAGGAAATGTGTTTCCACTAAAAGTTAACTAAATAAAATCAAGACCCATTTTAGTAAATGTCTTTACTATAACTCATTGTATAAAAATACTGAAGTAAAGAGGGTTTTTTTTGTTTGTTTTTGTTTTCTTTGGCAGGTTTTAATAAAACTTTTTAAAAAAGCAAGTTGAGAAATTGTACTAAAAAGCCTTGGTAAGTGTATTTATTTAGAAGTAATGCCTCAAGACAAAATTTATATGGATTTCACTACTATCATTTTGAAAAATCCAACAAAGCTACATTTCCTTGTTAGGAAATATATCTGTCATGCTGATAGCTTGGAATAAAATCATGCAACTTAGACAATAACTTCATCCATTTTTCATGTTCTATCTTTAATCTTTTCATTTTTCTTATTCTTCTTAGAAGCATTTTTTAAAATAAAGTAAGCAAATATTTACAGTATGGAAGGTCAGTTCCCATCTGAAGAATACAGAAAATCATAAGAGAAACACTGACCTCCAGTGGCCACCTAAAACAGACATTAGCAATATTCTAGGAATATAAACCTAGCACCAAAGAGGTAATATTTTCTTGATATATTTCTTACTAAAGACAATGGCAATAGTGCATTTTTTGGTTAAAATTTTATGCTTAACAAAGATAAATGAATAAATACTTTTCTTGTTGAATATTTATAGTCATTCCCAATTAAGAGTTGAAAAGCACAATAATTATATATTTATATAATAATTATATAATTATTTATATAATATAATTATAAATTATAAATATATTTATATAAACTATAAATATTATATAAGTTATAAATAATTATAAATTATATAATTATTTATATAATAATTATATAATTATTATATAAATAATTATATATATTTATATAATAATTTATATTATTCAGTGTGTAATCTAAATTAGGTGAATAGTATCCGCCAGGAATATGTAGACTGGTAAATATCAGTTAAGAGAATGACCAGTTATAAATTCTGTATTTGTAACATATTAAAAAAACAAATATTTTTCACCATCAAAATATATAAAAATACATGATATTGTAAAGTACTTCTTCAGGAACACAGATGTGTAAACACAATTCTTTCTCTACGATTCCATTTGCATTTTCCATGGCTTGGAGCTGATTTAAATTCGGAATTATGATTTTGATTTAAGAGAAATGAGGAAAGTATGAATAAATAAAAGACATTAAAAGCTTCTTAAACTTTTTCATATACAGTCCTGTCAACTTAAAACACCTGTAGAGTCTAAAGTAAACCAATGTTTTAAAATGAAAAAATTGTATGGGTTTCTGTGTGAAAATTTTAGAACTAATATAGCATTTGACATTTAAAAACCCTCAGTCTCATTTTAAAATACACATCTGCTTATTTATCCATCTGAAAATTTCTTCTACAAATATGATAGTGCTGGAAGAATTAAAACTACCTGTGTTAGTTCTTTTTAACTTCTTGAGCACTGATTTAAGGGATAAACACAGGTTATTTTGGAAAAACTAGTGAAAACACTAGAATTTAAGGCTGGGTGCAGGGGCTCACACATATAACACTAGTTTCTTGGGACAGTGAGGTCTGTGGCTAGCATGAACAAGAAGTTTGCAAAACCCTGTATCAACCAGTAAGTTGGATGTGGTGGTGCACACCTGTCATCGCAGCTACAAGGGAGGCTGTAGTGTAGATAGGGTAATTGTGGTCCACGCCAGCCTGCAAGACCCTATCCCCCAAATTAACTAATACAAAAAAGGTTTGGGGCAGCCCTTGCCCAGCAACTTAGAGGCCCTGAGTTCAAACCCTAGTATTGAGAAGGAAGAAGGAAGTGAGGAGGAGAGGGAGAGAGGAAGGCAGGCAGGCAGGCAGGGAGGGAGGGAGGAAGGAAGGAAGGGAAGCTAGTCAAATCACTAGAATTTGAAAGCAAATAGAGGAAATTGTCCTCATGAATAATTAATTCAAGATAATAGCTAAGAGATTTTCACTTAGGCACAAGTCTGAAAATCCTACCACATTCTACAAAATGGTCATCTTTTCATCCTTATTTTAATGTCTTAAAGGTACCCACAAAAAGAAGAGAAAATTTAGTAGTCAGATGAAGCAGAGGACATTTGGGTTATTGGGAATTAAAAGAATGTATTTATTAATAATCATCAATCTAAACAGCAACAAAATACACAGGAATTGTTATATGATTATGGAAGGAAATCTGTATTAAATGGGAAAAATCTCATATATGATTTTTTCTACTTAATTTTGCAGGGAAATAAAAGTATAATTATTTTGAAGAAGAAATCTGGAACTGAAATTTGACAGAATTAGAGACAAGGGAATCATAGGCTTAGAATGTACATTTACACTTAGTAAAAAAAATACTATATATTTTTTATTCTTACCTAATATAGTCAAAATAGTCTTTGTGCTGGTTACGATAAAAAACAGAAAACTTTAGCATACGTCCTCCAATCACTTCAGCCTTCTCCAACAGTTGTGTTAGATGAACTTTTGAATAATCTGAAATTTTAAAAAGTCTGTCATTAAAAATATAGCACCAAAAGAATTTGCTTTATGCTTAATAAATTGGGAGATTATTAAAATTCACCTTTAGGGAATTCAACTCAGTGAATAAGAAATTTCATCTTATAAAGAAGACATTCATTGTTTTGTGTGACACATTTTTCTTTCTATAAAAATATTTTTGTTATGGTTTATGACTGTTGCTTACAAGAGTTTTGTACTCTTTCACTCTTTGAAATTAAAGATCTGACGCAAACATATGTTCATAACCCAAGTAATAGCCAAGAGCACATACCAGCTTTTCTTCAATCAGTTGATAAATTGAATAAAAAAGCTTATAATCAGCAAGCAATAGTAAACTTGGAAAGTAGAAACAATGCTCCTTGTTTAATTTATTCTCTAAATCTCTGAGGCTATTTTGTTGATACAGAAATTGAGGTTTGTCAAAGCTTAATGATTCTTCCCAGTGTTCATTCATACAGTCAGTAACTTTGAAGACTATGTTCTAGCTCCTAGTTGATGATCTTAGGGTACAAAAGACTTAAAAATCAAATATGACATCAAAGTAATCTGATACTTCTTTTAACCAATTTTTTGTTGGTTAAAAACTCCAGAATCAGAAATTAAGGAATTGTTTTGGTATGTAAAGATAAGTAAAACTTCCCACAGACCAACTTAGTTAAACTGCTAGTAGAAACATGATTTGTTTACTTACTGCTTTATTGGCTCAATCAAAATTTATTTGGATTAGAATATACATCATACAAAGTACTAAGCTTACATGATAAAAATATATTAATTCTTCCTTTCAAAGAATTGACAATCTAAAGGAAAAGAGAAATCCACATAATAGTAACAGATAATAATGACATCATATAAGAGACATAATGTCACTGTATTTACTATACACTACATTAGCTAGTAGTATTCTATTTTCTCTTATTTCTGATACCTTGTCCACACAACTGCACCTAGGTCACAGCATGGGCTCAGCAAATTTTTTTTTTTTAAGGTGACCAATTTTCCCTTGTTTCCCTTTTTATTTTATTTATTTATTTATTTATTTATTTATTTTTCATTTTTCTTTTATTATTCATATGTGCATACAAGGATTGGTTTATTTCTCCCCACTGCCCCCACCCCCTTGGGCTCAGCAAATGTTGTGTGAATCAGATGCCCAGATCAAAAGATAATTTATACAAAATAGCTTTCTCAAAATTTACAGAGTCAAGGTTACAGATAAGGTTTAGGTAAAATAGGCCACAAAATATTCCGATAAACAACAGCTTTGAATAGTTTAAGTTCCTCTTAAGTTTTACCCATGAAAATTAAAAGGCAAAATAATTTACAGAAAAATATTGTGATGCATTTAAAAGCTGTAATTTTCTTCATTATTAACTCTAAATTCTTAGGACAGTTATTAAATGTAGATAAATAAAAAAGAATGAAGTCACTAAATAAATTTAAAAAATAAAAAGGTTTTCTCTTACACACATAGAAGTAAAAACATGTACTCACATAGTATGTGTATGTGTTACCTATGATAGGTATTTCTGAACTAGAAATTTCAAAAGTCTTCCTTAAGCTTCCTTACCTTTCTCTAAGGTAAAAATAAGATTTTATCATGTGTTTCTTTGAGTAGGAAAATACCATGATACTGTTATAGATATATAGGAAACTGCATGTATTACAGGTTGAGTGTTTCTTATCCAAAATGCTGTGGTCGTTTCAGATTTCAGAGTTTTTGGAGTTTGAAATATTTACATATAGTTTACTGGCTAAACAGTCCCATTCTGAAAACCTTAAATGTTCCAAAATTAAAGATATTTTGAAACCTCATATCACTGCTCAAAAAATTTCAGATTTCAGATTTTGGACTTTTGGATTATGGATACTGCTTAGAATAATCTTCCCCAGTAAGGCACAATGGTAGCCCAAACAATATATACACATGTGAGTAAATGTAAAAACAATAAAAGAAAAAAGAAAACAAATGAAAAGAAATGTAGGAAAAACAGTAAGCAAGAGGTAGATTCCAGAGAGGAATTATGATCGAGGAAAAAAAAGAGATAAAGTACGAATTCCAATACTATCAATCATAGGAAAAGTTAGGTCAGTGAGAAGAATACTTTTACTCACTATTAGTAAAATATGAACATCTTTAGCTATTTCATTACTAATTACCGAACTATGACTAATATATTTAATATGTTCTAAAATGCATATTTACACATTTAATATCTCTGACATTTATCTAACAATAGAATAAGGAAATACTGTTTCATATTTCATATGGCATTATTTTTCCCTAGTGATACATAAAATAGTAGATCTTATAATCCATAAGATAAAGAGAAATATAAATATGGTACCCGAGAGATACTAGTTGCCTTGCTTTCAAACGCAGAAATCTTTAGCAATCAAGGATGTTATATCCCTTAGCAACATCCTCAAAGGATAAACAAAAAGAAATGAAGATAAAATCCAAATCACACAGAATTAAAATTTCCATTTTATTAGCATATATTACTTATACAAATGGATTTCATTGTGATATTTCCATACACGCAAATAATTTATATTGATCATCAAACAGAATTAAAATTTCATACAGTGATATTTTAATTACACGTTCCTGTAAGTTTTATACTGAGCTTGAGATTAATAAACAATAGAAGATATTGGGATAAAGCAAAAGTTAGTTATACACTGATTCTAAAATAATGCAAGTATAAGGCTATAGTGAAGAAAATGTAATTTATCTGAAAGGTGCCTCAGCTGGGAAAGTTGCTAACAACTTACAACAGGTGAAACATTGTTTTACAGACTTTTTCTACAAGTCTTTGATTTTGAAACAGCCTCTCCCTACAATTTTTTAAATAGGTAATAGTCATTTAGATAAATAGGAAGATATAAAGTCCCACTCTCAAAGACAAAAGAAGAGAATGACAGAAGTACTGAACAAGTGCTTTTCTAATGAAGCAAAGTTATACACACAGCTTAGAGCTTTTCTTAAGCTCTTTCAGCACTCAAATGAAAAATCCAGTAACATTTCCACTAGGCACAGTTATTGAGATCTTTCTCTATTCCCTAAATCAGAGAAGAATGTTATATTCCTGGCTTCCTTCCTTCAATATCTGTGAAAATGAACAAACTGAAAGGAAAAGAAACAATGAAGAAAGCTCTCACTCACAAAATGAATCTCAAAATATGCTGAGTAAATGTTCAAAGTACATGAATTTCTATTCGCCAAGTTTCCACTTTGAAAAACATCAAACTATGCATTGCGCAAAAAAAGTGATTTGATGAGATCTCTCAAGTTTTGCTACTGAGATCCTTAGCTTCCTCTGATCAATACAATATTGTTTATTCTGTTACATAATTCTAAACTACCAATCCCAATACTTTTAGAAATACATGTTTTTGGTGATTAGCTTCCCAGGATATTAACTAAGGTTAATGAGGTTTTTTTTTTTTTTCTTATTTCTATAGTTCCCTTACCTGCTGTGCAGAATTCTATAATTTCACTCCATTCAGACACGACATAATCACCATCAACTTGTTTTGAAGCAGTCTGCACTGCTACTGTATATTCAGTTCTTGGGCTCAAAAACCAGTGTCCACGAACAGTCATAGGCAAGGGAACAGCTTTTGCCACCAATTTTGTTGGAACATCCTAAGAAGAAATAAAGCATGGTCAGAAAGTTAAAAAACAAGGGGAAGAAAAAGGAGGAAATGGAAAAACACTGACAAATAACTTTAATAAATTATAAACAACGGAGAGGAATTTAAATTCCTGGATGAAAACAGAATGTTCCTCTTTTAAAATACTTGACAGTTATTACATTTAAATCTCTTATTCTCCATATCCAAAAACTAAGGCCCAAGTCAATCAAGAGACATCCTCAATGTCCTCAACATCCTCAAGGGCATAAATGTACTTGGATTTCAGTTTTATTTGTAGTATATTGTTCACTGTATACTATATGTTCTTCAAAATGCATCATTCTCATTTTGACAAACATTTAAAAAACAGACATGAGATAAGATTCAATGAATTTAGTATTAAAAATAAACTATATGACTTAATATCAGTTATTTTATATGACTCAATAATTTTATTATATCAGTTCATTATTTTATAAGTGAAAAGAGAATGTTTTTAAAATAAATATTTTAAAATTAATCATTCTGTTTTACACAGTGATGAAATGGCATTTGCTTCACTTTTATTCAAGTGTGGAACCTATGTGTCAGAGAAAAGTTTAGGAATTTCTAAGTAATGATTAATAAGATAATTAAACCTATTAGTAAAATACATTCTACATCCTGCCAAGGATGTAATATTCTAAGTGTGCAGGAGAGAAAGTGGGTCAAATCTTCAACTTAAAGATCACTTAAAGTGATCACTTATTCATCACTTAAAGTTAAATAATTCAAAGTTGTTTCAAGAAGGCAAATGTCAGTTAAGAATATCCACAATCAGAGCTTGAACTTGGGATAAACAATGACTCATCAATCTTGCTCTTCCTTTCACTCTTATCTGTATATGTAAAATCATCACTCATCTTTAGTATGTGTAACTGCACATACAGTAAAAGGCAAAGTTTCCAGAGAAGACAGTTCTTCCAAATATTTCCTAAGTTAAAACCTAGCGTCAGTATTTTTTAAAAAGAACAGTTTTGTAAATCATCAGTGGAAATACTAAAGCGTAAGAAAATAATATTTAAGCCAGGTAATTGTACTCAGTAGCTACTTCTGGAGAGAGGTATGTATCAGAAAGGATGTATGATATGAGAAAAATATCAGAAATTTTACATGTCTAAAGTATCTAAGGATTGGTAATTCCCAAAACAAAAAAAAAAAGAGCACTAAAAAATTTATTTACTAAAGCATTGTTAGCCCTAAAATGTTTTTAAAAATACTTAGAAGTTTATAAGCTCCATCAGATTCCTCTTTGGGCAGTTATATAGGGAGGGATTTGTGCTTCAATAGAAAATTATGCATTGCCTATTGCACCCTTTTCTGGCTATCTGATTTGGATTCTATGGAAGCTATTTCACAGCTCTGTAATTCATAGAAATTGGAAAGAATTCAGTTATTCTTGTCTAAATACATGCAACTAGATTCTGTCCAATGGAGGGACAGCCAGTCTCTCTGTCCTTGAAATCCAGCCACCTCCTCAAAACCAGTTTTGGCTCTAGTTGCATTGATTTCAATATAGCTGACCTATAAATGAATTATCCTTTAGATTATTTTAACTATCTTGCAACACCTCAACAATTTCCTCATTAATGGGTTAAAGTCTAGTTTAAAATGCAGAGCTGCTTTTTATGCCTGTATGAGAAACATGATATTACCTTTATTTTGGGAAAATTATCTTTTAACAATAAACCTGGCATTTCCCAGAATTCATCAGAGTACACAGTTTTTAAAAAAAACACATAAAATTTTGATTCTTCCCAATGCCAAATAGATCATTTAAATCACTAGAAGAAATTATTCTTTTAAAATGTCCTTGTAATTAGGAAGATTTTAAGATGCAAATGAATGCAAGTGTTCGTTAGATTTTACCTTGTGTTTAAATTTATTGGAGTTCTTGTTCTCTTTCTTGTTGAGGTCAATGAAATAGTGTGTAATACGGTCCTTGGACTTTGAATCCATTTCCCATGAAATCTTGAATGAATCGCATGTAATATTGCTTATTTTGATGTTATGTGGTACTGGAAGTTCTTCCATTTCTGCTATGCCACTGTCTTGTGATTTGTTACCTGCCATAATATAATAATACACAGAAAGTTAGTTTCTAATTAATGGGTTTTTTCCAGTTTGTAAAGTCTCTTCTGGTGCACATAATTCAATTATCCAATTAGAGGCTTTATTTTGTTCATGAAGAAATTTGAATGTTAATGATAGTAAAGGATGGTTACAAGGTCATATTACCAATGAAAAGCACTGATGACTTAAAATTTTAAAATTTACTTTGCCAATTTCTGCTTTAGAGTGAAAACAGAAACAATGATGATCCATCTGTATAATCTATGAAAGATTAGTCTTTCATGGTAAGGGTCCCTCTGAAAAGCCTCAAGAGATCATTTTTCCAATATGACTAATCAATACTACTCTTTTTTTTTATTGCTTTACTATTCATATGTGCATACAAGGCTTTTGGGTCATTTCTCCCCCCTGCCCCCATCCCCTCCCTTACCACCCACTCCGCTCCCTCCCTCTCCCTCCCACCCCCTCAATACCCAGCAGAAACTATTTTGCCCTTATCTCTAATTTTGTTGTAGAGAGTATAAGCAATAATAGGAAGGAACAAGGGTTTTTGCTGGTTGAGATAAGGATAGCTATACAGGGAGTTGACTCACATTAATTTCCTGTGCATGTGTGTTACCTTCTAGGTTAATTCTTTTTGATCTCACCTTTTCTCTAGTTCCTGGTCCCCTTTTCCTGTTGGCCTCAGTTGCTTTTAAGGTATCTGCTTTAGTTTCTCTGCGTTAAGGGCAACAAATGCTAGCTAATTTTTTAGGTGTCTTACCTATCCTCACCCCTCCCTTGTGTGCTCTTGCTTTTATCATGTGCTCAAAGTCCAATCCCATTGTTGTGTTTGCCCTTGATCTAATGTCCACATATGAGGGAGAACATATGATTTTTGCTCTTTTGGGCCAGGCTAACCTCACTCAGAATGATGTTCTCCAATTCCATCCATTTACCAGCAAATGTTATGACCAATCAATACTATTCTTAAGCAACATCAGGTGTTTGAAGCTAGATGACTTCATAAGAAATGTTGATCATAAAAGGGTCCAGTCAAAGGAAATATTCTTTTAAAAGTGAAGCAGGGATGGATATGATCAAAGTATTTCAGAGGCATATAAGAAAACAGAATAATGAAACCCATTAAAATTGTTTTAAAAAGGGGAGAGAGGAATAAGAAAGGGTAATAGAATGGCAAATTTCTTCTTTTTCTTTTTGACAGTAATGGGGTTTTTGAACTCTAGGCTTTGCACTTTCTAAGCTGGTACTCTTACCACATGAGCCATGCCCCTAGTACTTTTTGCTTTGGTTATTTTTAAATGAATTTTATCAAACAAATTATATGCATGTATGGAAAGATCACAATGAAACTCCTTTGTACAACTAATACATGATAATTTAAAAAGAAGGGGAAAGTATATGAGATAGCAATGAGAGACTATAAAAATTGCTCCTACTCTTTCATTTTGAACAAATTATATGTAGAAACAACATACAAGAGTTATATATATACAGATAATACTGAAGATTATTCACTTACAATTTACTATGTCAAGTATTACTCTAGGAATCGTTTCTCTGTGGTACCTTGATAAATTTAATTTTGAAATAATAAAGCTAAAAGGAAAACGATAATGCCCCGTGTTGACTGATGTCATCAAAATCTTAAAGAAATGATCTTACATCTGGTTACTACAAAGACATTAAAGCCTATCTATACACCTCCACTTAGAGAAAGTGGAACCAAATTTCACTCCACTTCTTCCTATCTTCTCTGTCCTCAAGCCAACATAATCTCCAATGCCCCAAAAGAGAAAAAAATGAAATTGCTATCATATGATAAAAACAATGATAGAGCATCTGTCAGCTACAGAATTTGTTTCCTAATAGAGTAAAATAGCAAATCTTAACAGAAATTAAAAGCAGTGACAATGAATGCTACCTTGTAATACTTTCAACTTCCAGATTAGATTTTCCTTTTCATCAATCATTGATATAAAACCTGACTGTTCCCCCAACTTCATTAAATCTTTGGCCCATGTTATCTACTCTCAAATTATATTGTGGCCACAGGAAACTGATGGCATTTGAAAACTACTTTCAAGGTACTTAAGTTCTTCATTTTTACTTCTTGAACAATAGTTTAAAAATTCCTTTCTTCTTTCATGAACTTCCTTCACAGTCCAGTTTCTCCACATTCCTTCTTCACAAGACTTCAAGAAAAATTACTCCCCTACTTTTCATTTTCTTCCCCATTCAGACTCAGAAAATCACCTAACTGCTTCTGGCTTAAAGCTTTTCACAATTTCACAAATTAAGGAAGGGAAGAAAGCAAGTAGAGTCTTTAATGGCCTTGGGAAAAGCAGTAACACCAAAACATAAGTAATTTTTATTTTGCAAAGCTCATATTTCAGTCTATTATTATGATTGAAGGTATCATTAAAACATTAGTAATACTAGTGAAAAATGTTCTGGACTGTAATAGAAGAAATCTTTTTTATATCATCTGCATTACAGCTATGTCCACATGGTTTCACAAGTGAGTGAATAATTAAAATAGTTGCTTAGGGCCAATAGGCTATCCTCAGGCATAAATGCAAGACTCAATCCAAAAAATAACTAAAGCACAAAAGGGCTGGGGCATGGCTCAAGTGATAGAGCACCAGTATCTCCCCCCTCAATACCTTTATTTTCAAGCTTTTCTCCATAGTCCTAGTTCTTAACAAACCGATTAGATTAACTACCTCTAAGCAGTTTTTGTACTTGGGTAGACAAAGTAGTGAACTTAAGTAAATTCTATCACTCCCTTCCTCCACATATGCTGTAAATCAATTTTTAATTGATTTAGAGGTAAGAGATAGAAAAAAAGATTGTCTATAAAAACTGGTAAAAAAACCAGTGGGCCACATGACACTAATAGTCAATAACCAGATAGTGAACCTTAGTTCTACTAAGTATACTCCCAAATGCAGCTTCTTTTCCTTAGTAAGACTTCATCTTAAGGGTAAGTCTAACTAAATTTCTCTACTTACATGTTAAATGATTCTAACACCTGGGGTTAAACTGCTAATTAGTTAATACTGAACACAGAACAAATAAATGGCTCCATATATTTTTATGTATCTGAAACATGAAAGTTGCTTTTGAAAACATTTCATAAACAGTTTTTAACAATTATTGAAATGCAAGATAAAACACTGCCAAATTATACTACTTATATTTTGTGTATAGATTTTGTCTCACTGAACTTAAAATGCCTTGCAAAAAAATGATCATTTTTAAGAACAGCTTTGTTGAGATATAATTCACATGCCATACAATTCATTAATTTAAAGTATATAATTCAATGGCTTTTTAGTAGATTGAGAGTTGTACATTCATCCCCTTCAACCAACTATAGAGCACTTTTTTAGCCCCAAAAGAAGCCCCACATACCTTTTAGCTATTATCTCCCTCACTAACACATTCGCTCCCACATATTCCCCTCCTCTCAGCTATGTGCAACCACTACTGTATTATCTGTCTTCACAGATTCACCTATTCTGTACGTTACAAACAAATGGTATCATACAATAGTATGGGCCTTCATGACTGGTTTCTTTGCTTGCCATAAAGGTTCAATCATGTTATATCAGAACCTCATTTCTTTTTATTGCTAAGTAATATTCTACTGTATAAAAACACCATTTTTTATTTGTTATCTATCAGTTGGCAGACATGTTGGATTTTCCACTTTGGTCTGTTATAAAGAATGCTGTGATGAATATTCATGTACTAGTTTTTGTATGCACATATTTTCAATTATCTTTGGTGTATATACCTAGGAATAGAACTGCTAGATCATATATATGATAACTCTGTGCTTAACTTACTGAGGAACTGACAGACTATTTTGCAAAGAAGCTGAACCACTTGACACTCCTTCCAACAATGTATGAGGATTCTTAACAAACTGTTTTTTTATCTATCATTTTTGTACTTATCCTTTGCCTTTCTACTTTCTGCCATGTGAGAACAAAGCACCCATCCCCTATGGAGGACATAACAAGGAGCCATCTTGAAGCAAAAAGCAGCTCTCACCAGACACTGAACCTGCTGATGTCTTGATCTTATACTGTGCAGCCTCTAAAACTATAAGAAATAAATTTCTAGTATATGTAAATTACCCGGCCTCAAGAATTTTGTTATAACAGAAAAAGTGGACTAAAATAATCTGTCACTATCATAATTAATTTTGTTATTCAACCTGCCTCACATTTGGCCAGCAGAAACCTCTAGAGTTGATTCCTGCGATCTTCTGGCATGCCCAATAATCACTTAAGCACTTTCTTGCTTTCTTCCATTAACAAGGTGGTTACAGCTTATTCTTTTCTGTGGCAACCTTGGAATCAACTATTTCTCCAGGAGCTATGGTTCATTTTAGTAGACAATGGTAGACAGAGACTAAGACATTGAGTATTAGGTATGCGCAGCACTATTTGAATGTCATTGTTTCTAGGAACTCTCACTGGCTAGAAAATACATAGGTGTGTAAACTCACATCTATATTTCTACACTTATATAAAATAACATCATGCCTTTATACTGATACCTCCAGTTTCAATCCAACACAGAGTTCATTCCAGTCTTTCTCTTTATAACCTCTATAATTGCTTCAACAGTAAGAAAATTCCCTCAAATTATTTACAATATATTGATTTATTTGCTCAATATAAAATACATTGAGGTGATTTCTGAAATGTCGATTCATTCTGCTATGAAAAACAAATATACTAACTAGTTCAACATTTATGTACAATTACTTGTCTTTGGTTTGAGGTTAAATAATCAAAATACTATTTTTAAAACTACTTGGAAATTTTACCAACAGGACTCAAAAATAATTTTTACCTAAAAATATTGAACATTAGCAAATGGTATACATGATGAAGTGTTGGTAAAGTTTTCTGAAGTCTATTTGAAATGCATCAAAGTAAGATAGATAGGCAGGTGGATATGCGAAAATCATATC